GCGTCTTTAACTTGTGCTTAAACAACTTTATTTTCTATTTATTCTGTTCGCTTTTACACCATTTAGTTTGTAGTTGTATCTTTTTGTAGTTTAGACTTAAAAGAAAAAAAATGACAGTTGGCCATCACCGTCATCATGAACTCTATGAACTCCAGCAATGTCACTGGCAATGACGAACTCTGTCTATCTTCTCGATGGATCTCAATACACTTGAATTGTGATTCTTGAACTGGACTTTTGAACTCTTTTTCTCAGTTTAATCACATTACAAAACACTTCCCTTGCCCACATACAAAGAGGATGTTGTATAAACTGAAGGGGGGGATAGTGTTGCACATCTCTGAATTACTGTTATTCATTCTATGTTGCACTTATGCCTAAGAGTTTTCTTCATCGCTATAGCATCATTGTGTATAAAGCTGTTGGATGCAGTCGAGCCTTATCTCACATGTAGTCTTGCTGCATGACTACCAGGGTTGTGCATCGCATTTGACCCTTGCAACCATACATGAATATGCATAGAATGATTGACCTGCCCTGGGTGTTGCCTGCTTGCACATGACGTTGCGTCATTTCACATTACGTATGCTGTATTTGCACACAGTCTGCTTAGAGACAGAAGCAGGGCAATCCTCATTGGTTATTCCTCTAAAGAGTTACATGTATATTCATGATACAAGAAACCTAAACTCTCTATAAAAGGCGAGGATTTCCTAACTCTTGCCGACTTGCTTCCTGGCCTGACCACTCGTGTTGTGCGACACTGACCATGAACTGTTGAGCGCTCTGATACATGTTATGGGCAACAGTTTTCTGTGGTTCGAGATAGTAGCCCTATGCTGGTCCGGCACACATAGCTGTGTGGCTGGCGGAGCCTTAGTGGCCCACTCCTGCTATGGTCCATCCGTCTGATAGAGTCTTCCACCCTGTGGTCAGTTGTTACACTTCACGTGTGTGCCTAGCCTGGTAAAAAATACAGACAGTACGATACTCTTAAACCTTAGTTGCAATAATGTACGCTTCTGTGAATCAACAGATGCCACTCTTGCTACTTATTCAATACCTGAAGACTGATCATAGTGCTTCATTACAGTTTCTACACACTGAGATGATTCACTAACCCTTTTAATGGCCGCCTAGGACACTTTACCCTGAAATCCAATGCACTGCTCCAGGCACCATTTCTTGTCAGTGTCATCACCCGCAAGTGAGGTTATATCAGGAACGAATACGTTGGGAGGTAGGCATCTGGTTTTTAGTCAGGAACCCAATGATTGGGATGAGACGAACCCTGTGCGGCTCCCAGCGGGTGTGACCAATGGCAATCCATAGGGCATGTTGCTTGCTACCTTGTCTCAATGTAACAACCGCGAGGTGGAACGCCAGCTTGATGCTGAGATGGAGGTCAGGCGCATCAGTCAGCAGTTCGAAGGGGGTACCTGCAAGACCCCAGAAGCGTGGAGTGGAGAAAGAGAGGCTACCCATCTGAACAGCGACGCGTCCGTCGCCACAGTCACATCCAGACCTGGAGGAAAGAAAGAAAGGCCTACCGACAGGTGTTCAGTGACGGTCAACCAATGAAGGTGAATGTGTATGTTGGACGGAAGAGAGACCAAGGTAGTAATTGGGTCGCTCTTGGAATGATACTGAGATAGGAGATGTAGTTGAAGTGGCCACATCTGCTGTCAATACAATGGGACGAGATCGACCAGGCGGGCCATTAACCGAGGAGACAGAGCCAGGCTAACACCGGAGGAGCCTCGGCCAATAGAAATGGAGGATGCACTAATGCAGGTTGAGGATGCACTCTGGCGTTGAAGGTGCAATGACTTTGCGGAGGTTGAGAACCGCTCAGAGGTTGGTTGGTCTCTGTGATGGGGTGAGGGCCGACGTGTCGTAGTTGATGAGAAACCCCCGGTGTATCGTGACATCAAGGGTGAGAGAAGTGGAGGCTTGTGCCTCATCGGGGGGAATGGCAGATGATCAACCAGTCGTCTAGATATTGAAATATGAGAACGTCACGCTGTCCCAGGTGAGCGGCGAGCGTCTTGGCAACCTGAGTGAAACCCTTGGAGAAGTGGAGAGGGCGAAAGGAAGAACCTGAAACTTGTAGGTTTTGGCCACAATATTCGAAATGAAGGCACTTGCGGTCCTGCTTGTATATTGGGATATGAAGAAATGCATCCCATCAATCAAGTTGATTATTGGTCCCGGTTCTTTCTTGGGTGTCAGGAAGAATGACGAAAGGAAGCCGGTGGATGGCCAACTTGGGTGTACCGGCATGATGGCTCATTTGAACAGTAACACTGAAATCTCCTCCGCCAGAGCCAGACGCCTGGAATTGTATGGAGGGGGAGTAGAAGAAAGACCATCTCAGACGGTGGGGAGCTCGTGAATTCGAGGGTGCAGCCATGGGCAGTGGTGGTGAGGACCCAGCTGTCTGCAGTGATTTCCCGCCAGAACCCAATGAAATTGCCCAAATGGCCGCCGACAGGATTGGGATCGGCGGCCGTCAAACGTGAAGGACAGAAGTCCCTGGTGCCGCCCCTGAAGGGACCTGCAGCCGGCGGGTAGTGGCTGGAACCTTCTAGGAGCAGTCGGGGGCGGAGACTGAGGGGGTCTGATGACCAAGTTGCTGACCAAAATGGACAACTAAAGGAATGGCCTGAAGACGGGGGTAGGCCTGTCTGCTGTCTCGGTGGCGGTGGTAGCAGCCGTCATGGCAGAGCCACAAGTGCACAAAGTGAAATTTTCTTGGCAGTCTTCATACGCTTGACTTCTGACTCTGACAAAGAAGATGTTTTGGCCTTGTGTTATTAGTCTTCACTGGTGCGGGGGAGCCGAAAGCCTAGGTGGATGAGGATGAAGCCAGGTGGGGATGTCCTGAATCGTCAGTCGTATCCTAGGAGGAGCGTCCTGGGTCAGGATCGGTGGCCTCATGCCCGGAGTCCATCGGCAGACCGGAGGTCATAGTAGAGCTGCAGATGGGGTGTGGCGGACAAAAGCCCTGGCAGCTTAGCAGTCCAAAAAGGCTAGCATCTTCCGATGCAACTTGAGGCTGGGTGCAGTGTTGTACTGCAGTTTTGTGTATACTATGATCGGCCCTCCCAATAAAGGGACAGAATTCCGACAACGAAGTTCAGGACATACTTTGATTTGCCCTCCCAATAAAGGGGCAGAATTCTGACAACGAAGTTTTGTGTACACTATGATCTGCTCTCCCAACAAGAGGGCAGAATTCCGACAACGAAGTTTAGTGAGTAGTATGATCCACTCTCCAAATAAGGGGGCAGAATTCCGACAACAAAGTTCGGTACATACTTTGATATGCCCTCCCAATAAAGGGGCAGAATTCTGACAACGAAGGTTTGTGTATACTATGATCGGCCCTCCCAATAAGGGGCAGAATTCCGACAACGAAGTTACTGTACTTTGATCCTTCATTCACGTACCCAATGTATTTGGCAACGTCAGTGCCATCTACGTCCGTAAGAAAATATAGTCCAGCTTTAACTTCATGATCAATGACCTATGAGATTCATTAAGGATTTGTGAACGATTTAAGTCAGAATAAGAACACAGGCAGTTAAGCATCAATATTCAGTTTCATTTTATGATATTTCACGTGAAACACCTTCTATGGCATAGTGTTATTCATACCCTTGCAAGGCGGCTTTCATGCATGCGTGCTGAGTAAGTTGTAGCCCACACAAACGACTCCATACTTTAAAGATTTAACATAACATGGGCGTTTGAGTACCAATTTAAGAGGTAAAAGAAGCAGATTTCACTAGAAAATGCTGAGAATAGATCAATCTTTACAGACAATTCAATATTTGTTTTACTGCATTTGGCACATCCTTTGACCCCCCCATAAAAAAGCTTGGAAATAAATTTGTTTTTACCAATTGAGTTGCCAGTGTCCAGTTATTTTCCTTGAGTGATTGTGTCCAGTCATGGTTCTAGTGTTCATTTATCTGTGAAATCCTGGAACACAGTCTGCCTTGTAGTCCATGAGGGTATGATATCTTCTGAAGCACGGTACAGGACACATTGGCTTATTACATTCAATACAAATGTATTCAGTCTGATGACGTCGGACTGCCTGATTGGAGCAGACCACACAGTCTGGTTTGAATGGACGTCCTGTTGAAGTGACATCGCGATTGATGGCAAGGAAGTGTCGTTCTGTGAGTCGATTTGGTGCATCCATGGATCTCCTTCCTGCTCTGCCACAATGTCTGACATGTCCCTCGAGAAGTCCATTGATGATGGCAAACCGGAACTTTTCGGGCCGTTGTCTATTGCCAAGATGGAGGGCTTAATTTCCAGATGATCCAGCAATTGACACAGCTCACTTTGAGATGGTAAACGAATACCTTCTTCCAGCACTTCAATGTCTTGTGAATATTCAAGTAATACCACATACCCTGGTCTGCATGATCCACTCCTCCCATGTACTTGGTGTAGCATTCGATAACTACAGGCTTATCCACCTTGCGTGGATTGTTTTGGCCTCATGCATGAACATTTTCTGGAATGTTGTCACATTGTGCACAGTTGAGACTACATTTACCTGTTGTTTGTCAAACCAGCCTTTCCATCGCGAACAGAAAAATGGGGGTCACTGGCTTTCAAGTTTGGCTTTTTTTATTTCATCAGGTGTTCCGACACGGTTGGTCCAGAGGATTCCACATGCCCGTCCCATGGTTGCTGAGGTCATGAAACAGGGTAGGGGATGTAAACAAATTGTCCATGTAAACATGGTGGCCCCTATTGTATACAGGCAGACACAGAGTTGTGACAATATCATGATACAAGCCCACCTCAGTTTGGTTATTCCACTTGTCTTGATAAAGTTCTGATTTCCACACGTATCCTGTCTTTGCCTCAGCCAAGTTCCAACAGTTCAATCCCCATTTGTCGGGCTTGTTCGGCTCGCACACTTTCATAGCAGTTTGCCCTTTGAAAGGGATTACTGTTTTATCTACGGATAGTTCTCGATCCAGGTAATAGGCTGTCTGCCATCGATCTACTAGTAAGTCCATAATTTCCTTGATCTTTCCCCACCTGTCATGATTTTCATCTGCAGGTCTAATGAGTTGGGCATTGCCGGTGCAGTGAAGGAAGGTCAGTATCAGATAAAATCTATCACGTGACATGATAGGCATGATGACGGGGGCTTCCAATGTCCACTCAGTGGTCCAGTAAACTTTATAGTTGGAACAGTGATCAATACCCATCAACAGCATGATGGTTGGAAAAGCCTTCATTTCATTGGCCGGAACGTCTTTCCATTTCCTGAATCTTGACTGTTGGTTGAGATTGTCCGTGCCTCCTTTTCTTTCTATAGTCGTGGCAGCATATCGGTTTGTTTCACGAACCAACAGATCAACGACATCCCCATCAAAAAATGAGAAAAAATCCCATATTCAGTGGGTTCCTCGTCGCCATCAAATAACAGCTGACCATTCTGATGGTTGAAATTTACCAGCCAGTCGTCTTGGTACGCCCTCCGAAAGGCCCTCTTCCCACGCAACATCATCACCGGCCCTGGCCGCCTGGTGCCGATTTTCACCAGGGCCGATGACAAAATCCGACCCATTAGCATTACTGCTGTCGTTTCCTCCGGTCCTGTCCATGCCATTATTACAGGTACATGTACCTTCACTGACTTCATCGTCATCAGAACCGCTCAGAAAAGGCTCTTCAAAGTCAGAGTCTCCAAAAATCTCCCGAAATACTTTGTTAACATTCATTGTACACAACTATTGTTTCAGCGGTTGTCAGCGCATGGACTTTGATCGGTAAATTATGGGAAACTTTCTAAGAAGAGTCAGCTTCTTTACGACAAAATATTGTTGTCCACGTATACTACTATCTAAAAGTACCCGGATGAGGGGTCAGAGGTCTATATATTTGTAGAATTCAATGACTGAACATGCATAACACATGCGGGTGACTGTAGTTGCCCACAGCGTGCAGGGAATTTTTGCGCTGACTTGAGTCGCCGATGGCGCGCAAAAAGTTAATGTATTTTCAGAGAAAATTCTACCACTTTGTCAATTTCACCATTGCATATTATAGGATACGAAACAGAGGTCGACTACAAAGTCAAGCGCATTTGCTTCTTGCCTTTAGTGATCACATTGCAGCCCATAGATGGGGTCTATTGTGTCCCTTTTCAATGGGGTTACCAGCCATACATGTATGGTGTCTGTTTATTGCCACCGGGCTCATGAACGAAGCTGTGCTTGATCATAGAGGGATTTCACATTAGCGTTGTCTGCGCATATCCGCATCGAAACCGAGTCTCTCTGTGTTGAACTTCGTCGCACACACCGGCGGAGTCGACACAGTACATGCAGTATCCGGTTCGTATGTTTGATGCCACTTCAGTTTAAACCATGCCTACTTCACATGCAGATACGCGACCATCGCAGGTACGTCAATTCCTGCTAAAAGTATTGTATTGGGATCCCTAAATGGAATAGAAATCACATGCTGCAATATTCAAGTTTTCTCATCGCTTATTTTTATTCATTCCACATTAGCATAAAGTTTAAAACAGGTGGCTCATTTGAGGGTTAATTAAAGGAAATGCATTTATATGTATGCATATATATACAGGGCCCTGATGAGTAATGATAAAAAGCTAGTGGTACAGTAATAATCTCAAACATTAGACTCACCTATCCTTGGTTCAATACAAGCAGACATTCAGATCAGGTCAGGTCAGTATTTACAGAGAACTATTTTCCGTGCATACCATCAAACAGACAAGCCTCTTCCCCTCCTGTGATGAACATGGCCAAGAGAGATGAGGTCCTCTCAGGTGACACCACTGATGACAAGGACACCAAGAGGATACACATGAAATCTGGAAGTAAATGAAAGTAAAACTCTCTGTAAGTTTCACTATTTTATCAAGGGCCTTTTAGGGATTTAAAAGCACCCTCAATGTACATATGCCAATTATGTTAGGATATACAGTCGGCTCTCGTCAATACAAAGGCCCCAGGACTTACTGAATTGTTTTGTATTATCCAGAACCTCATCTTAAGAGAAGAGTATTTTCCCACTCGTATGTGTCGTTTGTCGATCGTACCACTGTTGAAGGGTGATGAATGTGCTTTCAAAACAGTTTGAACATGTTCTTTGTGAAAGTGTAAGGTACAGAATAGAACAAACAAAGACTTGTAATAAAATGTCTTAATTGAGAAGAACAAAGCATAAAATTAATAAAATGCATCAATAGGGAAAGTGGACTCATCACCAATCACTGTCAAAGAATTGTAACCTGTATGATGTACTCATATATTAAGGTACGTTAACATTTCAACTGGTGACCACTAAAAAGGTGCAATTTTATACATGTACAAAATGAAGGAAACCAGTGAATTTTTTGTAGACAACAGAGGGCATAGGTCGGGGCCTGCTCATTATATTTTTGCTAGAAATGAAGGTTTCTTTTTTTTTAACTTCCGGGATTTAGAACCTACCCAGGTTACCAATATATTTGCACCACACCTGCGGAGATGGGTAGGTGAGGTCACACTACTGTAAGTACATAAGGAATAATCCAAAGACATTACGAGTACAAGGACTATCAACTTTAAAAGGGGGGTAACCCCTGACTCCTCAAAGGAGGTCGCTTACGTATGATGACAGTTGCTTGTAGGGGTGTGGGATTTCCAGCATCAGACGGCCAGTCCATCAGAGTGGTCCCCCTAAAACACATCACTGAGGTAAACAGAGGTGAATGTTGATGGGGATTTCCAGCATGCCGCTTTGCAACATATAATAGCAATCCCCTTAAAATAAACCCAGGAGGACACAGTTTAGGATGCTGTGGGCACATTATAACATTTGCATTGCTAGTCCGGGGTGGTAGGCCAATCTTCGCTGGCAACCTTAATCGTGGAAACAACCCACCTGGCAATCATGTCCCTGGAGGCCGAGTGGTGACGCCATGTAGTGGTGATGAGTAGATGAGAGGCGGATCCCCTGATGTCCGTCCTTTCCAAGTACAATTTCAGCATGTGGAGGGGGCACAAGAGTTTGTCCAAGGAGGCTGAGTGTGACTGAATTGCCAGAACAAAAATGTCCAGCGGTTGGAGGAAGGTGTTGGATTTTTGTGAGGAACCCTATCGTCAGAATGAGTGGTACCCCAAGTGGCTCCCATCTAATGTGGCCAATAGATATGGAGACAGCTTTGATTTCATAGCCCCTTTGTGAAGTAATGATCGGCGGCGAGGAGGAACACCAGCTTGATACTGCTGGAGAGAGGCCCGTCCTGTGGGTTTGAATGGAGGACCAGCCAAGAATCACAGAATGTCCCCTAGGTTCCAGGATAGGATAAGCTTCTTAGATGAAGGGTGTTCTATGCACATTCCCCTGAGGTGATGGATCTGTGAGTTGTTGGAGATGGTCAAACCGTGGCCGAACGGTAGTTTCTGATCTTGGATACCAGCAGGCCAGAGGTGAAAAGGTGCATAAGTAAGTCAGCTACGATTTAAAGAGGTGCCTTGGTCGGATCAATAGCTTGCTCCTTGCACCATGAGTTGAAATGTGGTATTTGGCTGTGATACATGTAGATCTTTCTCATGGACAACTGATAGCGGCCAAGACAGCAGCATCTTGAGAAAGGCCTGCCTCTTGGCACGATCAACGGACCATGTCCAGCAGGTTTAGGTCAAGGTGAGATGGGTCCGGATGCAAGACGTGGGACCTGGGTTGGAAGATGACATCTAGCTGGACAAAATGGCCGGATCAGGGGAACGTCGACCAGTAGTCTGACAATGTGGAGAAACCATGGTTGCCTTGGCCAGAATGGGCAATGAGGAGGATGCAACACTTGTCCCTTTCTATCTTGGACAGCTATCCTGGGGATGTGCAACAGGAGAGGTATGCTAGAAGCCCTTCCCAGGAGAAGCATAGGGTGCCAGGGGATATCGAGTGGAGAACGTTTGGAGTTGGGCGTTCAGGTGGGACACAAAGAATTCCATGTATAGGCTTGTCCATGACGCAGAACAGTGTCTTGACTATCTCTGGTTGGAGCGTCCACCCGGTAGGACAGACCGAGCTCTGAGAGACAGCTTTCTCCAGGTTATTCTCCACTCCAGGAATGTGTTCGGCAGACTGACAGAGTGTTCTACAGTCCAGGGAAGAAGGTCCCAGGTGAGGAGGCACAGGTGAGGGGAGCACATGTCCCCCTGATGGTTGATATATGCGATGGCTGTTGCCTTGTCTGAACGGATGAGAATCATTTTGCCTTCTATGGATGAACAGAAGTGAAGGAGGGCTTCGAAGATTGCCCATAGGCTGATGTAGGACCCCCAAAGGTTGGGGCCCCAGAGGCCAGAAGCTTGTTGCGGGTGAAGACAGGCCCCAAACCCGAGGTTCGAGGCACCTGTCGTGATCACCACTGTCCTGTCTTGGGGTTGTTAAGGGAAGGCAGACGGTCAGGTTGTCTCTCACTGACCACGAAGCCAAATGTGGAAAA